TATTTTATTATTATTATACTAACTGTATGGATTTAGACAAACGCCATAACATAGTCCAATAAGCACATCTCTAACAGTTTTACAATTACCGGGTAATCCAAAGACGGGCGATGAATAGTTCATGAGGAATAGTTTGATTTTAAAGGCGAAATCAAAATATACTTGGCTGTTTTGTTTTGTTGGAACGTCCTCCTGACGTGAAAGGCGCTTTATAAATGGAATCTTGTTGTTGTTGTTGTTAATACAAATGTAATGATTGGCTAATACAGCTTTGCATTTTAATATGATTATTTTACAATCATTTTATTTTCTAACAATAAATTAGCTGATGTTGTCCTTTTGGCTCCTCGTGTTGATCTTGGATTCTTACTGTCTGCCAAAAAGAACAGGACTTGCCAGAGATCAACTTGTAGACAAGGATTGGAGAAGATGGCAGAATGCTCCTCCACAGCTTCACCTCAGCATGTCTCAAACGCACTGCTGCACAGCTATAGGTTTTGTGGCCATAATTTGAATATCGTGACGAAGTACGACGATGTAATGACAGTGTCGCATTTTGTCTGGAAAGGTGTAAGTACAGGTGTACCTGCAAAGGTTTTTAGATTGAGGAACATTTTGTAATTATTTTGTACTCTTTTCTATTATGGAAAAATCCAACTTCTTTGTGGATCTTTCAAAATTATTTGTTTTCTAATGTCTTTGAAACTAACTTCACCGCTTTTATGCTCAAAGCATTCAGAGATCACAAAGTAAATCTTATTTGGGCACGCTGGCTTTCACATTGAAGTGGTAACTGATAGTGTAGATAAAGGTGATACTATGAATGAATGAATGAATGAATGAATGAATGAATGAATGAATGAATGAATGAATGAATGAATGAATGAATGAATGAATGAAGGAATGAATGAATGAAGGAATGAATGAATGAATGAATGAATGAATGAATGAATGAGTGAATCAATCAATCAATCAATCAATCAATTAATGTAGAGTGCCACATTGATGAGCTTGATTATCTCAGTGTCGGTATAATGATGATTTAAGTCAACAACATGGAAGACTGGTGGAGAAACAGAACACATCCAAGAGGGAGAAATGTTGCAGTTTGGATAGAAAGGTGGTCAAAGAATAGGAAGGTTACACTTCAAAGAAAAAGAAGAAGAATCCTTGCATTTGATATAACACCTTGTCACGTCTTCGAGACATCTCAAAACACTTCACAGAATAGACTGCAAAGTGAATTGACTATATATTTGTGGGCGAGAAGAGACAAAGTCATCATTCACATATAGACCAGTCTTTGTTTGTCATTCAGGTGATGTTTAAACAGTTTTCAACATGTTTTTCCCCAGGGTCTTCATCTTTGTAAGTATTTTGAGAATGAGAAGATCAGTTTCTCTGGGAAGAAGGTGATCGAACTGGGTTCCGGCACTGGAATTGTGGGGATTTTAGCAGTCATGTTAGGTGAGTTCAAAAGCCAAAGTCTAATGAATTATGTGTGAGAGGAAAATAACACCTGATGGTTGCTGTGACAAGCCTCCAATTATACAAACATTGCTTTGGAGTTTCTGGGTGCTGCAATGATTTGTATTGAATTTCTTACAAAATTTCTTACCATATCAAGGATACAGTAAGAATTAAACACTTATATGCAATTAATTACTTACCTTGGAGCCAGGTCAGCTCCTAGAAATCACTCCTTACTTCCCCCAAGGTGGATAGTCACTAGTTGCTCATTTGACACCTGACAAGGACAGGTTTGAGCCCTCACTAGGTGCATGGCAGGTAATAATAATAATAATATAATAATAATCGTTGCATTTGATATAGCATCTTATCACATCTTTGAGACCCAAAGCTACCAAGAACTTCCTGCGAGCTTCTTGGTGGACAACACAGCTCAGCATGAAATGCATGAGAGCATTGTCACCATCTTCCTACCCACAGCTTGGACACATGCCCTTTCCTATTGAATGATGGTTCCACTATTTGGACGTGTGGAGTTTAAGCAGCAAATGCTTTCCTCTCTGCAAACCAATAAAGGTGGATTCCAGGCACTGGATATACAATCATGTGTTCATGAACTTGGACTCCACGTAATGCCTTCCAGCAGCTGTCATGTTCATTGCTGTCTGACAGACATGTGGCTTCAGATTACCAACTTGCACATGCAGCAACTTAATATAGCTTAGTTTCTAGGCCATTTACCTAGGTATATATAGGATTTCCATCTCTTCAATTCATGGATGCTTAATGATCGATTTAAAACCAAATGATTTGTGATGGAAAAGGAAATATGGTCAGAGGAGATCAAATGGGCTGAAGAATCTTCTTCCCAAATCTTGTGCTTTTTTGTGAAGCATGTGAGGTTTCCCATTGGTACATGGAAATGTCCATCAGTTGCTCCAATGGACTGCATGTCCACAAAATGTGTTGCCAAAAAGTTAAACTTCTCCTTTGGAGGATTCTTTTTTTTTCCCAACTGTGATGAGAGTATAAGATCCATAAACTTTCTTTTGCCAGGTGGAGATGTGACCTTGACAGACCAACTTCCTGTTTTGCATCAAATAGCAAGAAATGTAACAACCAATATCTCACCCGAGCAGATACATCGAGCAAAGGTCCGAGAACTTGCCTGGGGAAAAGAACTGAAATGCTATCCAAGTGATTTTGATTTCATCTTGGGTTCGGATATTATATACTCTAAGATTAGTTTTCCCTTATTATTACAGACACTGCTTCATCTGAGCAGCCGAAACACTATCATTTACCTTTCTTCAGAGATGAAGTACAAATTCATAGTTGATGAGGCTTATGTGAATCTACTGACTAAGTATTTTAATTCTGAAATTGTTTCCAGAGACAATGAACTAGATATCAACTTGTACAGAATGACCAAAAAGTGTCCAGATACTGAAATTCCGCAGTTATGTAAATAAAGGAATGTCTATTTATATCTGGATTTGTGAGACGTTCCTCCATAATAACCTTTTAAAACAATTAAAATATTTAATATTGCAACACTATTGTCTCATTTTCCCATTTTCGACTCTCCTCTTGAAGCTGATGAATGGTTTCCTGGGAATGGATGTACGTTTGGGCACTTTTGGTCAGCCGGGTGACTGAGACCTGCAGAAACCCATCAACATGTATAAGAGTATCCAAACTCAGATTTCATATATGTATACCACCTACACACTGACATTCCCCTGTGTCTGGAATGCATCTCTTCCTGGAGGGGAAGTATCCAGGGGAGGTAATCATGTACCATGATTACATAATTCTGGAGAGTATTAGGCACAGGTTGGCATGACTGATGATGAGAATAATATTTTGGGATACAGTATATAAGTAATTTGAGTGACGACATATGGCAAGTGTAGTCTGCTTGGGAAAACAGGCAACTTTGGACCTATGGTTCCCAAATCTTACTACCACAGGTAATTTGTCTTTGCCTCATGCCTGAGTCTGTTGTAGATTAATGGATAGAGATTGATTGCCCAGTGGGTAGTAGTACTGTCCTCTTGCTCTGAGTCAGGAGGTTGTGATATTCTTAAACATGGTGTGCTGCCCCAGGAATAATTGGCCATTCACTCCATGGTTGTTTTGGGGACTTTGCTGGGCACAAATTAGCTGTCACATTCCCCTACAGAATACACACTTATTACACTTTGTGTCAACTGTGAAATGCTTTGAGATGACCTCCCAAGATGACAGATGCTATATCAAATGTAAGGCGGATTATTATGATTAATATTTTGATTGATGGCACATTGTGACACCTTGACCCGCCCACAGGAAGCGAGACATCTGGATGCACAAAGAAACGTGTCAACATATCATTGCAGTCTCATTCTCTGAGCTCTGAGCTGAGTCATAATAATAATCCTTGCATTTGATATAGCGCTTTTCACGTCTTCTAGACATCTCAAAGCACTTCACAGAATAGACCGTAAAGTGAATTGACTGTATATTTGTGTGAGAAATGCGGCAGCCAATTGTGCACAGCAGTGTCCCACAAATAGTCGTGGTTTGAAATTAACAATTTTTTTTTTGTTGTTTTTTTGTTTGAGGGATTATTATCAGGCGTGTGGAGTAAGGAAACTTGCCCAAGGTTTCACTCTGCCGGGAATCAAACCCAGGTCTCTCTCTTGCAAAGTGAGTGCTCTAACCACTGAGCTACAGGAGTCATCACCATCATAAATCCTGTCATAGTTTAGCTTAATTATTTAGAGCCTTTATGTTATTGTTGAATCCCCCATACAATGCAGTCAAGCTATATTGAACAATTTGAACAAGAGTTGTATTGCAATAATAATAATAATAATAACCCTTGGATTTGCTCGAGAGCCTTATTATGTCATTGATCTCAAAACACTTCACCGGATATACTGTAAAGTATGCAAGTAGCTCCAGGACTCTACCCCGCGTGAAGGGTATTGTATAAATGCAAGTTGTTATTGTAAAGTGGATTGACTTTGTATTTTGTGGGTGGAACAAATAGCCAAGGAGTGAGTGACCAATTTCACTTGGGGGGATTGTTGGCCAGAACACCAGAAGACAGAAACTCCCTTCTCCTTTTGAATGGTGCCATGGCATCTTTAACGTCCACCTGAACAGGTAGACGGGACTTTGGTTTAACGACTCATCCCGAAGGACAGCACCTCCGACAACGCAACACACCCTAGCAACGGAATTGGAGTGTTGAATGTGTAATTCCAAGTCCTGACGTGGGCCTTGAACCCACAAACTTCTGATTCAGAGGCGAGAGCGCTACCACTGAGCCAGGCTGACACACAAGAGACATCATACTTTACCCCTGTTTACATATTCAAAACCAATACAGCTTCAGAGGTTCTAAAGCTTTCCAAAGTGACATTTATGGCACCAGAAAGCTGTAAGCAGTAGTGACAATAGACCAAAAGCAAATAAAATATATACTGAAGACATGGCAGGTTTATAGCAGTAATTGACATCAGAATACCAAAGCTAGAATTCAACAACTTTTTTATTTCATACTTTCTACATACACAAGGATAACACAATTGGCTGTTGGCTCAAAGCACATTAATACTTTGGTTTTCTGATTTCTGGCGTTGAAGGAGATACTGGAATCAATGGTGACTGAGAGCCACCGGTAAAGCTGTACCCATGGACTAGTCTTAAGGACAAGATAGGAGAAAGATGGGGAAATATAGCTTCCAGAATGTTAACAAATCATTTGAACTGCCTAGTTTCTAAGACTAATGATTTTGAGACTCACCTATCTGGAGCTAAATTAAATGACAGACATGTCACTCCCTAACACTGTGCCTGAGCATTGCTACCTGGACATTTTTTGGTTATTTTGTACACATTGACGTCATCCTCTTCATCTCTAAGCACAAGCTCAGAGTTGAAATCCTGAGTTAACATCTTTTCATGAAATTCATTGGCATCAAGCACCCTGCGCATTTTGGTCGAAATGAATATGATGGTGTTTGAGTTGCTGAGATGCTTCAGTGTGGCGATAAGACAGGGGTATATGCTAGGGCTGTACACAATATCCGAGCCGATAATGTAATCATAGTTAGTAGAAAACTCAGTCTGATTTTCCCCCCAGTTCAGAGTGGCCACTTTAATACGATTCATCATAGCAGGAGGGAAGTTATCAGAGATGTTCTTTTCTATTTGCATCAAAGTACGAGTTCGATCGGTTAGTGTCATTTCTCCACCTGAACGGAAAAAAAACGGTCCTTTCAGTTCATGGCTGTTTATGGCCCATTGATATGCACAGATTGGCTGCCATTTTGACCAACAGAATAAACAGTCTAGAATTTACAATTGAGTCTTGTGAAGCACTTTGAGACGCCCTCCGAATGTGAAAAGTGCTGAATCAAATGTAAGTTCATTATTATTGTAAAACGCAATTTATATATCACGATTTATGTTTTATGCCCATCTCCATGTCCTTGCTCCACCTATCGCCTTACTCCTCTGGAATTTTTCCGTTAGAAGACCTCACACTATCGGCATTCTTCCAATCTCTCTTTAAACTTTTACAGAATCTATTGTTTCCCAAACCTTCTGGCATGTTGCTTTTCTGACATCTCATCCCTTCTATCTTCCCCCAGCCTCTGCTCTGAGCATTTAGTTTATCCCCACTCGCTCTCTGCTGCCCTCTAGTTATCTGATCTCCTGCCTTCTGTCTGACATGACCATCCTCCTTTCTCATCCTCTTGTATAACTCCCCCCACACATATTCCAGACAGCACCTCCCACACTATTTCCTTCTGCAGCAAATCTCCCTGGTAGAACAGTCGCCTCCCTTCATCGTTTCTCAGGTAAGTGTCATGAACACCATGTGGCTTAAGTCCAACCTGATGGACCACAACCATAGCTGGCTGGACCACACCAAAACAACAACAACAACAACAACAAGATTCCATTTATAAAGCGCCTTTCACGTCAGGAGGACGTCCCAAGGCGCTGCACAGTTGGGTCATGACCCGAGCAGGGGGGAAATGGTCAGGGTGAGGGAGGGAAGGGAGGGAGCAAGGAGGGGGAAATGGTCAGGGTGAGGGGAGGGAAGGGAGGGAGCGAGGAGGGGGAAGAGAGTCGAGAGGGGAGCTGAAGGCTCGGTCAAAGAGAAACTATTGCTCCACCATCACCCCAGCCAAATCCAAATCATCCTGGAGGCCAAAGACAACCCCAGGCTCCTCTTCACCACCACTACCTACCCCACTTGCCCATTTCCCCATGCTCTGCCCATTCTCTCCTCCAATGCCAGGAGATGAGGGTACTTCACTTCCTTAGGTTCAAAATTGAGAGGATCCACTCTTCTGCCACTGCCACTGGCAACACCTCCCTTCCTTCCCCCCTCCATCCTCTCCACCTCTGGTCTGATCCTACACCTACCTCCACACTTTCAACCCTATCTCTCTTTCATCCCTCTCCTCACTCATCTCCTGCATGTCTACATCACACAATCACCATTCATTTGCATAATAGCAACTTTTCTCGCCACAGGGCACAAACCTGGATCACCCTATTCTCTTTTTGCATCACTAATTAACAAAGTTAGTTGATTGACTTTGTCCTTTCTACTCACCCAGCAGGCCTGCTAAGATGCCCACAATTCCAGTGCCAGAGCCCAGTTCAATCACCTTCTTCCCGGAGAAGTTCATCTTCTGTTGTTCAAAGTACCGACAAAGGATGAGACCCTGAAAAAACATGTCTCAAATTCACTTGGGAAACGTCTTGTAGGAATGGAGGAAACGTTGTTTGGCCAGCAAACAACAGGATTTGTGAGTGCCACAATATCCAGTCTGGACACTGTCACGCTTGACAAGGAAAGAAAGAGTGTGTCCGTGCCGCTTCTGATGCCTTTGGCTCACTAATAGGACAGCAAGTCTTTCTATCAAACTTTTAATATTCAGTTGAGTTACAGATCAGCCATGATCTAATAGAATGGTGGAACCGACTCGAGGGGCTGAATGGCCTCTCCTGTTCCTATGTTACTATTTAATATGGTGTGCATTTAAAAAGTAAAGGAGGTGGCAGGAGAAGAAACATGCTCTATGTCAAACAGTGGGTCGAGCCACTCCGTGACAGATTCTTTTGACCAGATTTCTTGTACCAATCTGTTTTCGGGTTTCCAAAAGTGTGTCATGTTCGAAGCAAAATGTGCATTGAAAAACTAAATGCAATACATTGAGTTTCAAAACATACAGAACAATTGTTGAGTATTTTCACTAAAGGGGTGTTGAGAAGGTGAAAACGCAATGCGTGCATATGTAGCGTCTTTCCAGTAGGAAAACGTTTTGAAGGCTTCAGAGATATCAGTGGAAACCCATGCAGTGTGGAAGGGATAGGAAAGAGTTTCCTAAATTATGGTCAAACAGGTGGGTTTGGGGAAGGATATGGAAATCAGGGAGGAAGAGTATGAGGTGGAGAATGGACATAGAGGATTCATTTTCCTTTTCACAATCACTTTACAGAAGCTGGGTTCAGCGCTTTGAGAGGTTCCAGGGGCTGGATCAATGACAATGATTATTATTCATAAGTGATCAGACTTACTGCTTCCCAAATCGTGGACGAAAACTGCAAATTAGCACCGATCATCCGAGTGATCTTTAATTTATGGCCACAAAACTCATAGCAATCCTCTATGATGCGACCGGTGTATTTCTCTTCTTTGACGGAGCTGCTGTCAGAATGGGCAGTGGTCATGCTGTCTGTAGCAGGTTGTCCTGAGTCCTGAGTTTCCGGGATGGATTTGTATCAATTTGTTTTTGATGAGGTGAGAGTTATTAACTCCTAAATCAAGAAACAACATTTATAAAATTGAATCGTAAATAGAGGGCATTGTCTTCCTAATCTTTAGCTCAATACCTCACACACCTTGGAGTCTAAGTAACTTTATTTTAACTTAAATTAACTTTAAACGCATGGTTAATTCACTGTGTGGCCAAACAGGTGCGCTTTGTGATGATTCTTAAAGTATTGAAATATGTAAAGTAATAAACGGAAATTCACCCCCAAAACTAAAGATTTTTGGTCCCACACAAAGTCGTTGAAGTGACTTCACTTCATACAGTACAAATCTTGGGAACTTCATATGGAAACACATTGCCAGAGACAGCATTTACAGCAATAAATAAAAATCTTTTTTTAAAAATGTAGTCACTGTTCAATTTATCAGCCGAGGAATTGAAATTCACCATTAATAGTTTGATTAAATAGAGCTACAGTGCTAAACTCTTTTCAAAAAGTTTCTCGGGTTATATATTGAGATAGTGAGATGATTGACAGACAAAAACATTGATCAGAAGGCATACAACAACAACAACAACTTTCATCTATATTGCGCCCTTCACACGGGGCCATGTCTCAGAGTGCTTGAGTTGAGCAGCAAAAGGGAAAGAAAGGAATTAGTGAAAGCCAGAAAGTACCAACAACAGGAAATGTTGAAGGAGAGAAGGAGACAGACACACTGCTGAAAATTGGAAGATAAAACTCTCAGCCCGAGAGGTGCACAGAGACAAAGATGTTCATCCTTTCATCCTTCACTGGCTGCATGGATGATAGAAAAAATAAATTAACTCTAAAGATTATAATAAGAATAATAATCCTTGCATTTGATATAGCACTTATCATGTCTTCGAGACATCTCAAAGCGCTTCACAGAATATACTGTAAAGTGAATCGACTATGTATTTGTGGGCGAAACACAGCAGCCAATTGCGCACAGCAGTGTCCCATAGACAGTCGTGGATTGAAGTCACCAATTTATTATTGTCTTCTTTCTTGAGGAATTATTATCAGCATGTGGAGTAAGGAAACTTGCCCAAGGTTTCGCCCTGCTGAGAATCAAACTCAGGTCCTCTCGCTTGTGAGGTGAGTGCTCTAACCACTGAGCTACAGGACTCCACAACAGTTAGAAACACTGTAGTTAGAAACAACAACAACAACTTGCATTTATATAGCGCCTTTCATGCGGTGTAGCATCCCGGAGTGCTTAAAAAACATTGAATCATCCTCTTACCATGAGACAGCAGGTTCTGTTTATAATTAAGGTGAATTATTAAAAAAAAGACAAAGAGATAAATGTGAGATGTGGAGAAGGTAAGAATTGGCAGAGGAGGTGAATAGGTTTGGAGACCAAGTGAGAAGGGCTGGAAAGCTACATAAGGCATTGGTATAGAGCAGATAGAAAACACTTGTAAAGTCCTGACCAAGAGAAACAGCTCGAGGTAAGACATTGGGAAGGAGAAGCAAAAATCCCTGCCCTGTATGGAGACAGGAAAGGAATGAGAAACAGTTGACTTCAGTGAGAAGATTCGTGGAGATGAAAATCCCAAACTTACGTAAATGTTGAGCAGTGTTGAGTTCTCTTCAGTGTGCGTAAGTGCGGTGGTGACTGCTGAGTGTCCATACAGTGGAGCTGAGCCTTTTAACCCAACCACATCTCGTAGCAATTCCTTATCACAACCTGACCGACTAGTCAACATCGCGAGAGAGCATAAAATACAAACTAGCAGTGTTTGATGTCATTCATGTTGTGTGTGGGGGGGGATTCTGTCATTTGGACAGACTTATGAAAGATATATTTGATGTTTGCTTCTGCACTGGTTAATAGACTTAGCTTTCTTTCGCTGGCAAAGTTGAGAATTTAACATTTGACAATTCGTAGCATCATACTGTGGTCCTAATTGGGTTATATTGCGATAGGCCCCTTGTCTATTTTATTTCCCTCTCATCAACTATAGCTGTTAGGGAGATTGTCAGCCTGGCTCAATGGTAACGCTCTCACCTCTGGGTCAGAAGGTTGTGGGTTGGGTTCCAGCTCTACGTTGGGACTTGGAATCACATAGTCTAAGCTGACACTCCATTGCAGTGCTGGGGGTGTGTTTCATTGTTGGCGGTATCGGCCTTCAGATGAGACGTTAAACCAAGACCCCCATCTGCCTTTCAAGTGGATGGTAAAGATCCCATGGCACTATTTGAAAAGCGAACAGAGTTCCTCTCTCCCGGTGTCCTGGCCAACAATCCCCCAAAATAAAATTGGTCACTCACTCCACGGCTGTTTGTGGGACATTGCTGTGGGCAATTGGTTGCTGTTTTTTGCCCACAAAATACACAGTCACTCCACTTTACAGTATATCCTGTGAAGCGCTTTAGATGTCTCAACGACATGAGATATCAAATGCAAGAATTATTATTGGGTGACTAACATATCTGTTAGTCATCAAATGGTCGGAATTATATTCCACAGAATGAATTGAATGAAGAATGCATCACAGTTAAAATAATCACTTTGAATAGAACAGAGGATAAATGCTGGATTCATATCCCCATATCACATCCAATAATAATTCTATCCACAATATTATAGGCAACTGCGTTGAATTCAAGATTCCATATGTGGTGCTTATCATATAGAAAATGATAACATAGAGTTCATAATTAGACTACAATTGATATATTGATATAATTATGTAGATATTAACCCATCCAGCATATTAAGACACTAATATGCTATTATATTGATGTGATAATTCACTGCAATACCTTCATGAAAAATAGAGAATCTATTGAAAAATATTTCTATTGATTGGTACTCAAATCAAAGAGGCATCAAGCCAGATGACTACATGAACTTACTGATAGCAAGTCATGATAATATGGTGCAGGTAATTCAGGAAGCCGTTGGAGGGTGGATTCTAGAGGTTATATTAACAGTTTTAACTCAGGTCACCACACGTAGTTCAGGGCTGTGCTGAGAGGAGGGGAGGGGTGGGTGAGAGGAATCTCTTTTGGGGCTAAAGATGCCTGGCAACAGAATACTCAAGTCAAGTCAATCCTCTCTGTTGATCTCAGTAATAATGATAAATAATAATCCTTACATTTGCCACAGCATCGTTTATGTTGGGAGTTTGTCTCAAAGTGCTTCACGGGATACTGTAAAGTCCAATGACTGTGTTTTGTGGGCAAAAGTAGGGCACTCCCGGCTGCCTCTTTGGCCAGACCTGGAAGGGTAGACCAGTCATTGGGAGCAGGGAATCATCCCACTTAGCTCCTGTTAGCCCTGCAAGCCAAAGCTCTAACAGGTAGAGTGGTCCTAGCTGGACAATTAGTGTGAAAGCTTGCTAGACTTAGATTTGGTGAGCACGTCAGAATTGTAATTGAAAATGTAGAGAAAAATCAGAAAAAGGGGAAGAACTTTAAACAAGCCAATAATGAAGAATGATGAAGAAAGTTAAGGTTTGCACTCTGTCGGTATGCAATTAACACAATACCCCATGCACATGTTTAAAATATCCATTTTGTTGATCTCGTAAGCTTCCCTCAAAACATCAGTGAAGGTTCCTTGCCCCAAAAATGCAAACACTATTGCAAATGTGACTTGAAGGCTAGAATATTGTGTTTCTACTTTTTCTCCTATGTCCTCAGAATGACCAGTGAATTAAATGTGCCGAAGCAGGGAAGTGACACAATATTGACCAGCGAGCCCTCTACATAAACTTAATGTTAACCTGGACTATTGGCACACAATTGAGGAAAAATTCACCCAGGTCCAGTTTTAAGCAGCTAGAATTTGGCAAATTGTTGAATTCAGTTTTTGAAGCTTTTGTACAGTTCTTAAAAGAATATAATTAAAATGGCTTCAACATTAAGTCTATATTTAAGCGTTTTGTGAGCCACAGGGAAAATGGAGCTCAAGGAGAAATACTAACATCCATTCTTTTAATAATAATATACTATGTTTTGATATAGCGCCTTATCACGTCTTTGAGATGTGTCAAAGAGCTTCACAGAATATACTGTAAAGTGAATTGACTATATTTTGTGGACGAAACACAGCAGCTAATTGCAGTGACTGACAAATATTCATGGATTGAGTGACCACATTTTTGTTTAAGGGATTATTACCCTCTTACAAAGCGATCCGCCAATTGACTAACAACCAGGTTCCTACTTACTGCTTGGTAAACAAAGGCATGTGGAGTAAGGATATTTGCCTCATGTTTCATCCTGCCTGGGAATTGAACCCAGGTTCTCTCTGAGTGAGTCACAAATTTGCCCTAATTAGAGCAGAAACCAAGGTCCAAAAACAGAAGAAACACTCGGGGAACTGAAGGGACAATATACACAGATCGAGAACTTCATAAACAAGATCATTATCCCAAATTATCACTAAACTAACAAGAAGGTAAACAGTAAAGAACATTGCAGAAGGAATTAAAAGGTGTGCAAGAAAATACGTCTTCATGTTTAGCACGGCAAGAATATAGCATTCTCTACACACTGCAGCTGAAGGAGACAGGTGCTTGAGGACGCTTGAAGATGCTTGAAGAAAAGGAAAATACAGTTTATGGGAAGTGAGCGAGGATGAGAGTTCTGATTGAGATGAGAAATGGGGAGGCAATCAACAGAGCAGTGTTGTTCAACATCACTTTTTATTATTATTATTATTTTATTATTAACGTTTTATTTGTTACAGCTCCTTTCACATCAAGAGTATACCTGAATCTCGTTTTTCAATTTTTGTCTATACTTTTATCTATTATCTTACTTTGAATGCTTCCCGAATGTTGAATCCTGCTCCTTTAAATATGTCCATTAGAACAGAAAATGTATTTCAGTTTGCGTACAGCAGTGGCCCACAAACAGCCATGGACTGAGTGACCAGTTTTGTTTGGGGTATTGTTGACAGTCAGGACACCAGGAGAGAGAAATTCCCTTCTCTTTTCGAATAGTGTAAAATTATTTTCACACGATTTAGCGGAGAATTGTTTCATCAAAATTAAAAATATCAGGTCCTGGAATGAATCAAACCAACAATTGCTTGATGTTTATCTATTGACATCTTTCTGTGATTGACGCAAGAAGACTTATCAATATACGACGTTCCCTGGTGCATAGATTCTGTTCCTTTGTTTTGTTGCAATTGTGTCACTTACTTGTCCACTTAGTGTAAGAAGACGTTCGTATTTGTTTTACACTATGTAATTTCACTTTAAAAATGGTTAGTTTCTCTGTGTCCTTGTGATGAAACCTATGACATATTTATTTTGAAGTTAATGAACTCTAACTAACAAGAATCAATTCACAATGTATAACATTTTAGCTGGAAAGATTTTCAGTTTGCCAGTAGAAAGGTTCCTGCTTGGGGCCAGTGGATTATAAATCTAGAAAATGAATCTGAATTATCATAGGACTATGTGTGGATAGAGGTTTGCCAGCGAGTCAGCTGTTGAAATATAAATAATTTTCGGAAGGGATTTTGGTAGATTCTTGAGGAATATTTGAGGGTATGTGAGCGAGAAGGGGGAGTGCGAATAGGTTAAATGTGTTTCATGTGAAGAATAGCATCAGCGCCTGATGTGGTATAATATTTGATGATTCTGCACCAAATTGCTTGCACAATCGTCTCTCATTGTATTTATCAATAATTAGGTGTCTGACTTTGTACCCATCTCAAGACCCTTCTCTTTGACCGTGTCTTCGATCACCCTCCTTCCGTGATTGATATAGCATGTTTAGAACACTCGCCTCGCAAGCGAGAGAACCCATGTAAGTGAAAGGCGCTCATATAAATGTAAATTGTTGTTGTTTTCTTTGGTCCTAATTATAAACCTCAAACTTAGTGATGTTTATCTTCATCTGCTATTGTTCCACCACCCTCCTAATCTTTCCACATTTCTTTACAGTTGTACCTCGTAACTGTGTGTCATCATCAGATTTAGAAATTATAACAACATTTATTATAATGATAATAATAATTGCATTTGATATAGCGCTTTACACGTCTTCTAGACGTCTCAAAGCACTTAAATATAGCACCCCTCACACAGGGTAGTGTCCCAGAGCGCTTGCTTATCAAGTTCAAGATATTCCCCACCCCTTTTTGTCTGTGTGATGTAGAATGTGAATAGCTTAGGATTGACTTCCTCCGGGAGAAGCATAATGACTTCCCAATGCTGAGAGAACCAGCTCTCTGGTGCTACCTCTCAACCCATTTCCTGGCGAACGCGGCAGCCAGTTGCACCCAGCAATGTCCCACAAACAGCAATGGAGTGAATGATCAATTTTACTTGAGGGATTGTTAGCCAGGACACCGTGAGAGAGAAACTCCCTTCTCTTTTCGAATGGGATCTTTAACATCCACCAGAATAGGCAGACGGGGCCTCGGTTTAACATCTCATCCAAAAGACAGCATTTGTTGGGAGTAATCTTAAAATCACTTAAGAAAAGATTAATAATCAGTTTTCAAGGCAACAATTCAATCCTGACAAAGGGACCATTTGTCATCTCAAACACAAATGAGCATTATTGGATACCTGCATCAGGCCAATCAACATTTGTCAAATGATAATTGTTAATGTTTAAGTTATGATCCTTCATAATAAGAAGAATTATAAA